TGCCTGTGTATATTTACTTTTGAGGATTTTAACGAGAACTGCATGTTTGTTTACGGGACGAGGCTAGAGGCAAGGCCAGCCAATTATATCGACAATAGTTTACATTTACAGTGTAGTGTACAGTGCAGTGTTTATTGAACTGATTTTAAGGTTTTCGCGGCGTTTATATACAACAATATTTTCTTTCGGTTGGCAGAAAAAATTCAAGTAGGAAAGTAAACACTGCAAAAATGTTACCGGCAATATACACCCCCAAGACAGGCATTACATTAATTAAGGAAATGGGTACGTCGTCCGTAGCCTGTGGGAGATATTTTTTATATTTTGGATTTTGACGGAGACCACCGGCCGCGTGAATACGCCCTAATAGTTTCCGAAGGGGTTTTTCGAACGGCGACCCCTTTGTGGTAAAAAAATTGGATTGAGCCATTGCGGTGTTCACAACAAAAGTGTGTGTCCTACTTAAATATTCTTCCTCTACTTCCGATAGTTGCGATGATTCTATGTCAAAACCATGCTTGCTTATGATGAAGCTAGCATTCCGCTGAGTCGCGATGATTTCAAAAGCAGATTTCAGCAGTACAGCAGTACTTCGAACTAATCTATCTTCTGTCAAACCGTACAGAACATCATCAGGGGCATATGATATTGAAAACCGGTTTGTCCCTAGTAAAACTAAGTCGCTTTCCAGCCAGTCCTGCCAGGAGTTGATCTCTCTGTTTTGGGGAGGAACTGAGATGAAGCCCAGTAGCTGCCCCTGATACGCGCCAACCACAACCAAGCAGGTCAGCAGCCATCCCCCGAGTACGGCTATCTGCGGCCCCGTCCACCTGTCGCGTAACGGCTGCCCCAGCAGAGGCGAGAGCGTCTGGAGGACTAGCTCCTGGACACTCTCGTCGTGACGCATGAGGTACAGGCAGGTCACCACGGTGAGAACCACGGCCGCAAGCGCAGCCCAAACAGCGGGTGTGTACTCGGCGGTTATCGGGTACAGAACATGGCGCGGTTTGCCTGCGCCGGCCGGCACTACGCACACAGAGTGGTCGAGCCCCCATGGAAATAAACTTAGTTCCGAGTGAAACTCAGTGCCTACAGGCGGGTAAGAATTTTTTGGAAATGCCAGTACGTCGAGGCGGCACGTTTCTGCTGCGATGAACGGCATCAAAACCATCGTCGCGGGTGGCGCCCGAAACTTTGTCTGAAACACCAAGCCGGAGGAGTCTCTCAACAACCGTAGTATCTCATACGCCTCTGACCTCGTGAAGTCGCCCACTGTAGTAGCTTTTCCACCAAATATGAACATCTCCGCGAGCAGGGGCTCTCCGTCCGGTGGGGGCCGCCAGGAGGCGCAGAGCGGTGGGAAGATGGGCACGTGCGGGGCCGACCAGCCGGCGCCGGGTGACCAGACGCCGAGCAGTTCAGCCTTTGCCATGCTGGGTTGCCCAGCGTCCCCAGCGTCGTAGTCGCAAAACGTTGGCACGGAAAACACGTGCGTCGTGCCTCGTGGTCGTATCGTGAACATCATGCGGACGAATCTGTTGCACGGATCCCTTAACGACAAATCAGACATCCAGTCATCGGCCTTGGCCTCGTCCTCGGCCTCGACCTCAGCTGATGCCCAAGCAATGTAGCGCATCCTTCTGGGGACCAAAAATGGTTGATCAACAGCGATGCGGAGCACAATGGTCGAAGATGGCATCATCTCAGACAGGAAAAAGTCCTCAAACTGAAACGAGATATGTGAATTAAAAATAATAATGCCCGAAATCGGATAATTGTAGAACCATGGTCTTCCCCCTGAAAGCAGTTCCTGGCACGATACCTTTGACACGTTTACCGTAGTAAACACATAAATCGTGGCAATGCTTGGGAATCGCTGCAAAAATTCATCCAGCCAATCTGTTGTGCCAAACACGAACAAGCGCGGTGGGTATACGGCAGAATCATTGTCAGCCCGTTGGAAGAGTGGAGGTATCAGAGTCAGGGCGCACGGGACCTCGGGTCGACGTTGACGTACCATACGAGACGTCAGAACCTACACAAAATACACAGATCGATGCGTCCTATAGATGTAAGTGATTCTCAAAAACTTTCCAATTTGTTTCCCTCGTTGTTTTCTCACTTCTGCATTGTACACTTAGTAAAAAATTATATGTGCCGATAAAACATTTGCTGTGTATAGACAACTTATTTTCGGAGCTGAACAGCCAAAATTTAGCTGTAATGCTAAAACGAAAACGAAAAAAAAACAAAACAAAACAATAGCTCGCAATAGCTCTAGAGCAAGCGGTAACTACCTTGCTAACTTTTAGCTGCCTAGCTCCAAATGTTTGCAAATGTTTTAGCTTCCCGTGTAATCTTTGTTCTGAGTGCACCAATTAACGCGCCGCGAACAAGTGTTTCGTTCAAAAGAAAATAAAAAAAAATGGATATTCCCTCAAAAAAGTGGTGACGGGGCGTTTTAGAACCCCCAAACCACCTAAATCACCTGTCCCATGTCCCTAGCTCCATTTTGCAACACACAGTACAACAACAACGCCGCCGTACCGTGACCGCATTTCCGGAAGCTTCCACTGCGGCTAAGCAGAGAAATAGCGCAAATAATGCCGTCTGTTCACTCGACATGTTGAACGCTCTCTGACGCGGTTGGAGGGGGCTCAGAGAGCTAGCGAGCAAAAGGACAATCGATGCTCAGCGCGACAGTGCGCACCCACAGTACAAAGTGACTGAAACTACGGGAGCTCCGCTGAGAGCTCCACTGTCAACTTCAAAAACTCGCTGCATGTAATGTGGTTGAGTGTTGAGTGTGCCGCGGTTCTGGCTAGAAAAAAAACCACACACACCCAAGGAGAGGCTACACTGAAATTGGCGTCTCTATGATCGGGAAGGGTGCAGCTGCCAAACGTCGCCACGCCACGCACATATACAGGGTATACTTCACATAATAAAAAATAGGGTACACACTTTTGAAACTAAATCCGTAAAAAAAAACAAAAAAAAACAGGGAAAAGGTTTAGAAAAAATCAGAAAAAAAAAATATCAGAAAACAAACAGATAAAATTCCCCATCCATTAGGTGGCTCACTATAGAATAATTGGAGCGACTCCCCCGCCCAATCGCTCACGTTCGTGGAGCAGAGAACTGGTTGCCTACCTATTAGGTGGACCCACATTCATTAGTTTTGTTCTATATTTGTTACAACTACTGTTATTGGCTGAGCTTGCGAAGCCTTTGCTGTGATGTGGGGTGCAGAGAACTCTTTGGCCGTGTGTCTTTCTGTCTGTCTGTACTGGCTCACGTTTCTCTCGGACGGTACGACTAAAGCTCAGCCACTACGGGCTGCTGCACGTACTCCTACGTTTTAATGCACTTCGCTCAGCTACCCCGTGCTCAATGTTAACGCACGGGGCCCTACGTAACGTGATGATCTGCCCCCCCCCCCCCCCCAGTGGGAGCTCCCATTTGGGGGGCAGAACGATCACGTGATGGTTATGCCCCCTCTGAAGGGGGGCATATCTATCACGTGATAGTCATCCCCCCCTGAAGTGAGGGGCAAAACCATCACGTGATGGTTCTGCCCCCGGGAGCATGTCCACCATAGGGTATGATCTTCACGCCACACCGGCGTAGCTCCAGTTTAAATGATGCTACACTCAAAACAAGGGCATCATTAGTTGCAGTAGACCATAGGCTTTGAAAAACTTACCTCGTGAGATTTCTCAGCACACTGGCTAAGAGGAGATAGCTTCGCCAGCCAGCGCGGCGCACATTTCGACGTACTTAGTACCTACTCCATTATAGCAATACTTCATGCTGGAAATGCAAGTGTGTGAATGTCGCTCACCTGCAGGTAAGGAAAAATTCACACCTTTACCCCGTTAACTGTACGAATGGAATGTCGCTCACCTGCAGGTGAGCGACATTCATACATTTGCATTTCCAAATGATTAGAGGAACAAGAAAGACTGCCAAGTTTTTACCTGCTTTTATTGTTGCATATTTATTCTACTTGATAGCATGTCATGAATATAGGTAAGGTGAAGTTGAAAGCATTATGAAAAGACAGACACTAAGAACTTCAAATGTCGACTAGACAGCGATAGACGAGCCGCGGCGCCTAGAGGTAGTACAAGTGCCTGAAATAAATAAAGATTGAATGACTTGTCAACATAAGAGGTTCAATTCATACGTTAAATGCTTTGTCAAGCACAATAAACATTTGTTTCTAGCAGGCTAAAGCTTTTAGCAAATCCAAATGCTCTTACTATCGACGAATGAAAGGCAAGGAGGTCGATAAGGCGAAAGAACCGGACGAAAGAAATAATAAACTAATATTTTTTCACATAAGCAGACGGATCACAGGGCTTCTGGGCCATCTTGGTTTTCAAACACTCGGCTGCGGCGCGGGAACAGCCGAACTTGTTGTCGGGTGCAGTATGAAAAATTTCTCGGCCCTCCAGAATACCTTTTTTTATTATTTTACAATATTTTAATTTTTTTAAATATTTTATTCAAAAACTATTTAAAAAGTAATAAAATATTCAGGGGGGACCTTCCGGTGAGGGGACCTTCCGGCACCTACCCGTTGGCAAGGCAGGGTAATAACATATGAAGCAGCAACTAAAGGTATGAACAGCGGTGAATGATGTAATTGCTGGGTTAAGCTTTTTGTTAAAAGTTGTCAAGGATAAGCAATTTGTAAAATGAGGTCCTTGTGATAAATTTGTAAAGGTTGATATATGATTAGTTTGCAAGTTCATCTTTTAAATATTGGTGTTGGAGATGGAAATTGAAATGAAAGTGTGTGTGCTCTATTCATTAGCCAAATGTTTATAACAAGACAGGCACGAGGATCACAGAATCAAATTATGGCACTACGTCTGGTAGTCTCACCAACAATGCAAATTTTGTTTGAATATCATTTGACTTTAATTTTTAAAACATTAAATCATTGATGATTCAGATATTTTTTTTATTGTTGGCATCAAACAACTACATACACTATTAACAGTAGTTACTCATGAAATTGTATTTTGAAATAATTTAAAATCAGGTTTGCGCATGGCAAAGTTGCTACAGGCATGTCCAGGAGACTCATTTACGGGTAGTGAAAGCAATACTCTGCAATTTGAAACTAAAACAAACAAGAAAATAATAAATTAGATTAATAAGAAATCCCAAAATAGTTTTTGTACCACCATTCAACTTACTATATCCTTTGGGCTGGCATAAGTGGCGATAAGTGGGCAATATATACTTTACAGCTGCAATCCAAACCTCCATAATGTGTTGACCCCACCTGCAATAGTGACCAAAACTACACAACAAGAACAATAAGACAATGCAATCATTACTGAATGAGAGTAAGTTTATTCTCATATGCTTATAAAGTTGATTTTGACTAAGCAGCAATAGAAATGGAAAGTAGCCTAATCATATTTCCACTAAGCAGCAATGTAAATGGAAAGTAATCCAATTTCCACTACCCAGCAGAACATTGGCGTAAGAACTAGACCCATTGACACCCCCACACAATCAAGAAAAGTATTAACTAAGATTACGAGAACTACGAACCTTATCAGCGGATGATCTCAGCTGTCTTGGCTGGAACGGCCCTACCCTCCAAGTAGTTGCGCGCTTCGCCGCTAGGTCGCAGCAGGCGGCGGCATCTGCCGGCGCAGCCAGCGCGCTACGAGCGGGGCAGCAGGGCCGGCTTAAGTTTTGCTGAGCCGGTGTTTAATTGACTCGCGCGGGCAGCTACAGACCGTTGCACCCGTGGGTCACACCCCGAACTTCTCACTCGCTGTGTATCAGACTAGGTAGATGTAGCCAGACCACGTCTCGCGTAACAGGCTTCGCGATATCTCACGAAACACTGTTGCGCTGTGACGCGCCTGGCATACATCTACCTAGGCCTGCGGCGCTGACACCTGAGTCGGGTATCGCAAATATGAACACAAAGATACGGGCCTCCGGCCCGTCAACTTCCCGTCACTTCGACTATACATGCAGGGTTGTACTTTTTTTCGCTTGTTTTCGTCAAAAACTCCATGTGGCGCCTAAACGGTTAATGATAGAGCCAAACGGACGAAATTTTCGCCCACGGGGCTCTACTTTGATGAGTTACCCCTTAGAAAACATTAAAAAAATATTTTT